CTTTGTAAATTGTTCAAATTACAAACAATTGACATAACAACTAACGCTTGTCTCGCTTTTTGTTCCGATAGAAAAGCAGGCGAAGAAAACTGTAAACGAATCTACGAACCTAAGTATTCGAGTCCGACTCGGTAGAAGCACAATAAGGCTACAATTACAATTACAAATGCCAGTTGGGTCGGCGAAAGATCAAAGCAAAGCACAAAGCTATGCAGGCTAGGAAATAACAGATACAAACGTTGCCAGCGTGCACAATAACAATGGCAATAAAGATAAAAATAATAAAATATAAGCCAAGGAAAAATAGTGTACCGAAAATGGCACAGACTCAACGGCAACAAGAAGCATTGTATACCATCTCCATTGCAGCACCCAAGCCAAACGGAGTTCATCGCCAACTTTCCCAAGCAGTTCGAGTATGCAAATATATCGCCGGCTGGCTAGTTGCCTGATGGATGGTACAGCCAATGTTCCATGAGTCATCCGCCCTGGTGGCCGCTTCCTCGATCCCGCAAGCTGAGAGCAGGTACGACACCAAAGCTACGGTTTGATCACAAGTTGAGCGTAAAATATGCTAAAGATCATCGGGTGTCAGTGACTGTGTGTGCCGGCAAATGAGCGTAAAAAGATCAAAGAATCTTCGCGCGCTGTGCCAAGTCCGACCGGCAGTCCTCTCCACCCTGGCCACGGTCCGGTCCGGTCCGGCCTCGATCCCATCCCCTCTGATCACCTGGGACATCTTCTGCCATCGCACGCTGCATGGATACTAACTACGTGCGCGCATTTTGTAAAATAACATTCAATTTGTGGAACCTGATCAAACCATTACAGCAGGCCCAGATCGGTGATCGCAGATCGCAGATCGCCCTTCGATGATCATCAAAAAGCCTGCCTTAATAAATAATCAAAGTACTCCGTTGTAATCACATTTCTGCGATCCACATTTCCAAATCCCTCGACTGACGTTTGCGCATATTTTTACGCTTGCTTAAAACGACCGAGTGCCGGGCACAAAGACTGCCGACGGCTCCACCGCTGCCCCCGCCCCGAACTTGGTTCAAACTGCCACCATCGGAGATGGAAATTACACGTTCCAGGCCCCTCTGATGATTTCTGCAATTGCTGGCCAGGCATCGGCGGCAATAACAACAATTTGTTCGCATAGCCGGTGCAGACAGCCTGGCTGCTGCCGCTTCATCGCTGGTCCAATTGGTCCGAGTCGGCATCGACATCGGCATCGGCATCGAAATCAGCTCGCAGCTGCATTGCCATTACTCAGCCGATCTTTGGGCTCCTCCCGGTCTGGAGGGGTCCCTTATTGAATTATAATGTTATTTAGTTGCGGCTGCCGCTGCAGCTCCTCGATCGACGTCATCGACTGTGGATTGCAGACTTTGTGGAAGCGATCGTCGCCTGGGGCCTTGGAGCTTTGGAACATCGATGGGGCTGCTTTCAGTGGCGTATGAAGACATTGTAGGAGGCATATGATTAGATGGATTATAAGTGCCGGCATCAAGTGCATAACCAGAAATGTTGATTCCTCACCTGTCAAAGGGTCCTTAATACAGACACAATCGCATCTCGCTCAGTGTCGAGAATACTGTTGGTAAAAAGCTTACATGCGTAAGTCAAACACCCGGCGAGTCGATCAATAATTCATGCGTAATTGCCTTACAGCGGTTTTGGATGAAAAGGGCACGCGAGAGCCAGCAAAGTGGAACCCTCCCAGGGGAAGACGAACCGCATCCAAATGTTGTGCGATGGCAAAACCAGCCCTCTCATTACCACACAGCGATCCAAAAACAACACAGAGATACGCTCTAAATTTGCGTTACGTAACGGAATTTAAAGCGTTCCTTATCAGATTGGTTTTGATGTTTTATCAACGCTCGCTGCTCACCGCTTCCATGAACATGAACATAAACATGAGCCTGAACGGTTGTTGTTGCTCCTCGGCTGTGCTGTTTAATACGTATATAATTTTTAATGAATATATGATAAATATTTTTTGGCGTGCGGCTCGAAACAAGCGAATGAGTGTGTGAAAAATTAGCGGAAAATGCCCAAAACGTCAACACTTGAACAGTGAATATTAATTCGTCGGCACACGGTTGTTTTGCTCCGGGCTATTGGATTACGTCCTCAGATCGGGGGCAATTAACGGCTGCATTTTCAATTGGATGTAAGTAATTCGGGCGCGGTTTTGTCGACACCATATAGATCGAAAACTATAATGATTCCCACCTAATTCGCATTATCCCACCTCGTTCGCGATGGTGCCCTGCGATCATCAATCAAAAGACAGGATACCGTCGCTAAACGAACCTAAAGTGAATACAGCTACCAGAGCTACCTTCAGTCAAATTGGCCACACAGGAAGTCTGCGTTGAGATGAAGAGGCCACAAAATTCGCATGGTACCGACTCCAACTCAAAGAGACTGGGTCCGTCTATCAAAAACGCATAAATCACGGAATTCTTTTCTGTGTCGGAAAGGCCTTTCAACAGCCTTGTCAAATGAGCCGCTGCGGAACTCGCACTCGGACTTGTATCTCAGCTCTCAACTGGCCACCCAAATTAAATTTGTTTAAAAATATCGAAGTTGGTGGCCCAGGACCCAGCCCAGGATAAGAGCAGTCAGGACAAACGAAGCCGCAGGCTACTGTATGGCATGGAATGACAAAGTGGAAACAGGCAAATGCCTTGGGCAGGAAAGAAGTCCCCAGGACAAGATGTGCGATCAATTATGATTGTCACAGTTGACACACATTATCGCCCTCGCAAAGTTCCCGAACCTGTCGTCGTGGCAGGCAGGGTCCGGCGATATGAGCTAATTGATGTTTTCATTTGGGCACCCTGACGGCCGGAGAACGTTTTCATTCTAGGTGGTAAGTACGACGCCCGCTGAGCACACATAATTGAGAGCAGCGGGAAGGACCTGAAGAAAGACACCGATCGCCGGGGTCCGAGATGGGCTACCTACGACTGTACCAGCAGCATCGCCCAAGATTCCGAAACTACTACTACCGTAACTAGGGCATGGGGAGATGCCTGGCCGGACAAGTATGAGTCCTTCCCTCCCTCGCTGTCATTTTGTCAATGGCTTTGTTTCGGGTCCTCTCATCTTTGGCCAGGCCCACATTTTGGCGGCATCTTGAAAGTCCTGCCTCAGTGACGTTGGTGGTCGCAGGATTCCACTGCTCATATTTTGCGCATCTTCTTTGTCGACTGCTCTATTTTACTGCGGTGTGTGTGGGTCCCTGGACAATGCACAGCTCCTAAATTATTTTCGTATTATCGAATCTGCAGTACGTGTTTGTCGTTTTTGTCTCTAATTGTTTAATTGTCAGATCATGAGTCGGCTTGTTGTCTGGATATGTCACGAGAGCGCCTTCATCCAGACCCCGTCCACCTCCATGCACGTTACAAGGCTAAGAGGGATATTTGGGCGATCGACATGTTAGTACATTGTACATTGTCAACTTGTTATTAAGGGGAACAGTATCTGTACTATTTTGAGGGATTAGTTGCTTGTGCTCGTGAACCTGTTAGGTAGTGCCTGCCGCTGGGACATGACCAAAAAAGGCCATGTGTGTGGTCCTGAACCTTAGAGACAATGCTGTTAGTTTAATGGAGTGTGAGAGGTTTGTCTTCATTGTGCGCTTTTTTATAATGGGATATACATTTAATGTCGATAAGAAATAGTATTTAGAGATAATATCCACTAACATACAGATATAGTGAAACTCCATTCTCAGAAAAAAGGAAAATATAGTATATTTCATATTCTTCAGCTTTATGAAACACTGCCGATGGTTTTATTAATATGGTTTTATATTTCACATTATTTTTTGTTCTACCTTTTGAAAGTGTTCCGAAATGGTTAAGAAATATTCAAATTTATCCGATTGTTTGGATGAAATATTATCGATCTGATTTTTGATATTGGCCATATAAAACATATATTTAAAAACACAATTGTTAAGGTTTTTTTTTGTAATTGTGCCAAAATAAGACGCACAGCCAAGAAAATTACTGTTTTGTGCAGCTGAGAGCCTAAACAATCAATTCCAAGTTGATTTGGAAAAATTTTTTTTTAACCGATTTTCGCATTTTTCAATAGGGGTAACACTATAATTTTTGGGAAAAAACTGGCCCAAAATAAAATTTTTTTACTGAGAATACCAATGGATTGGAAATTTTATACCGAATCCAACGAGGTATGACATTCCAAGATCTGACCATTATTTTCAAGGGTTTTGATAAAAAAACCAAAAAATTTAGATGATTTTTTCCGGATATTGGTCATTAAAAACCTATATGTGAACACACATTTTTGAAGTGTTTTTAGTTGTAACTTTAACCAAAAAGGCCGCACAGCCAAGATAATGACTGTTTTGTGCTGCTGAAAACCTATACAATCAATTCCAGGTTGATTTGTTAGAATTTATTTTTTAACCGATTTTCGCATTTTTCATAAGGGGCAACACTATAATTTTTGGCGAAAACTGGCCCAAAAAAAAATTTTTAGCTGAGAATACCAATGGATTGGAAAACACAAATTTTTTTAAGGGTTTTTTGTTGTAACTTTCCCAAAATAATACGCACGGCAAACAGAATGATTGTTTTGTGCAGCTGAAAACTAATATAATAAATTCCAGGTTGATTTGGTAAAATGTAATTCATTTTTGGGTTTTGATCAAATCTTAGAATCTAGTGGAATTGTTCTGTATTTTGGCAATACAAAAAATGTATTCCCGATTGATGAAACTTTTTCACACTATATTCTTGAAATATTCTGCATTATTTATTTATGTTAATAAACAATGAAGTTATGTCGATTAAATTATTCCCGGACATGTTGGGAAAGTTTCATCCAGATAGCTTCAAAACAAAATGAAAAGCCCCTTTTCAAATGTGTTGTGAACCACGTCATAATAAAACAAAATGTTAATATTTTAATTTTATATTTAAAATTTTATTTTTTTGATTATCGCTCTTTCATCTTACATCTATTAAGAACACAAGTCCCAAAATATGATTTAAAATAATTTTAAACAGTCTTAAGGTCTTAAGATATCGACTTATTGCTAACATTAAAGTACGAAACGCTTAAAAAGTTAACTTCCCATCGGCTTAGAATCCGAAGTAGGGATAGGATGGAGCAGTGGGCATCATTGTGCTCTTCTGGTCGACCTGATGATGGTAGGCGCCAACGTGGTTGGCTGCGGCAGCGGTGGGGGGGAAGAAGGATCCGGCAAAGTTGTAGCTGTCCCACGTAGAGGGGTGGTGGGAGCCCGAGGCGGCAGCGGATGCAAACTGGGACCGGAGCTGCTCCGCCGAAGTGGCAGCAGCCGGGGGCATGGTGTAGGCTGCCGATCCGGTGGACGGGTAGGCTGCACTGCCCGATCCCACACCGTAGGTGGAGTTCATGAACTCGTGTCCGGCGGCTGGCTGCTGGGCTTGCGTCTGCACGGGACTGTGGGCGGCGGAGCTGCTGCCAGATGTGCTGCTGGCCGGGGACATGGAGGCCAACGAGCCTCCATAGCCGGCGTGGTTCTCGTAGGCCGTTCCCGATGCTGGCCAGGTCTGGGAACCGTACAGTCCCATTCCCATGTTTGGAGCAGGGGCAGAACTGGTGGTGGCAGGGGCACCGTAGGAGGCAGCTGTGGGGGCGAAGCTGGGCACTTGCTGAGTGTTCAGCTGCTTGCGCAGACGAGCACGGCGGTTGGAGAACCAGACCTGGACGCGGGCCTCGGTCAGTCCGGTGCTCTGGGCCAGTTCTTCGCGGGTGTAAACGTCGGGGTACTGGGTACGGGCGAAAATGCGCTCCAGGGCGTCGATCTGGTCGTTGGAGAAGGTGGTGCGGGAGCGTCTCTGCTTCCTCTTCAGCTGCACACTGGGCTCGGCGTCGTCCTCGCTCTCATCTTCACTACCGGCCGATCCAGATCCTCCGCCGAGGATGCCATCGATGCTGTGGGAGGTTCCCGATCCGGAGGATCCACGCAGCAGGCGCGAAATAGAGCTTACAGATGGGGCATTCTGCTTGTCACAGACCCCGGCTTCGATCAGCTTGGCGCGGATCTCCCAGCTGAAGATGCCGGGCTGCGACTGCTTGAGTTCCTCGATCCTGGACTCGATGTCGGGCGTGGCCACGCGGGGCTTGCTGCCGCCGATCACTCCCGGTCGAATGGAGCCAGTTTCCTGGAAGCGGTTGAGAATCTTCGAGACGCAGCCGTGCGAGACGCGCAACTGGCGGGAGATGACGCAGGGACGAACCCCAGCGGCAGCCATCTCAACGATTTGGCGACGGATGTGATTGGGCAACGGGCGCCCGTTGATGAAGACGCCACCAAGTTGGTTGACGCGACCTTGTCCTGAAAGCAAAAGAGAAAAGGGCATGATAAGTAAATTTGTAAGCCAACTTTTATTCTTTAAGTCCGTCCATTGAAGTCAGATCGTATTACAAAGGTTCAAGTAGGTTTGTTTGCGACCTTGTTTTTGGGTCGATCTTTCAATTAACCTTTTCTCTGTGCTCGATTGAGCGGAAGCAAGTAATCTAGTTAGCCAGCATCGACCACTTCACTGCATTGCACTCGGAACGCACTAAGCTGGATAAGCTCGAGGATCAATTCGCACAATCTTTTGTTGCAGATGGGTACAAACGATTCGATGGCCATTTGTAGACAAAACAAAACGCAAATTGGCAATTTGCGTAGACCTCTTCTAGTTTTCCAGAGAATGGAAAGGCTCTTGCTGGCGGTGGCGGGGAAAAATGCCGATCTCGCCGGGGAACGGAGCTGCGAACGCATCTGCATCCTGGGTTGCCTCATGCAATCAAATCAAACTAATAATCCATAAGCGCTGCAGACGCCCAGCTGTGCCAGCTAACACAAGTGTGTGTATGTGAAAAGGCGGCCCCAAAACAGCCGAAAAGAGAAATAAAACCCAGTCCATGCGCAGGGTCTGTTGTTTGGGGCGCTGACGTTGCTCGGCTACGTGCTACTCAAGACCCCGGCTCGATCGCAGACACTGAGCCGATCCAAGATCAAAGCCCAGCGCCACGAAGCCGCCAGCGAAAGAGACGAGCCGAGACATGAGCTGGCCAGAGCTGGCTGGTCGCGCCAAAAAGTCTGCAAAGTCCGCACTGGAAGCTGGGATGCGATGCGATCCAAGCGATGCGATACGGCTGGCTCTGGGCCTGGCCGGCCGAAAGGCCGATCACAATCAATAAGTCAAAAAGCTGATCATGCTGCCGAACGGGTAATGATCTCTCGTTTGAAAACAGCGGGCGAAAGCGCTGCCCCAAATGATGAGCCAGCTCTTTTCTATGTCCGAGTCTGGCGTTTTGTACTCGTAATTGTGGTAATTGGTAATGCTCGTTGTGGGCTCTGATATACTATCTGTAATCGGTGCTTACCTTGGAAGGGATATCCAGCAAAGTAGGGAGTCATGTTGAGAGCCGAAACAGCCATGTCTTTTTCAGTAATCCGTTGGGGAGATTTTCCGGTGTCAACACTTTTTATTTTCTACGTTTGGTTAACAATCTTCAGAGAGCCCGACAGTTCACAAGTTAGAATACTTATAGGTTTAGACCCAGCTCTGGTAAGGCGAGTGCGCAGTGAATGGTGGTGCTGCTCGTTTGCTTGACAGCTCGAAACTGATTTTGAAACGGTCAGCCGCAAGACTAAAACGAATCCGTGAGATTCTCAGAGCCAAGAAAACGAGTTTTGGTCGGCGGAGAGGCAGTGCGGGCGAGGGTGGAAGTACGGTCTGGCAGCCGGTCCAGGCGAGAGCGAGAGGCGGCGATCGCACGAGAGCGCTGCCGGTGGTTAGAGCAGGGCGGCTGCCTGCCCTGCTCCTGTGTGCTAGAGCAGTGAAGGGAAACGGAAACAAGAGAGAAAACTCAGTGAGTTTTCATAGCATGGCTGCAATTTGGCTTGGCTCCGCCCCCAGAAAACCGAACTGAATGCTCTTTTACATTCCTTTCTGGCGGAGCTAGATTTGGGATAACTCCGAGTGGGCTTAGACTGGCACTCCATTACGATTGTTTATTTTATTTGCGCTTGATTTGGAGTTATGCTTCTTTGGAGCCGGGATCTAAGGTTCGAGGTGGGTGGGTGGTGGCCTTAGGGCCAAGTTGATTGCGCATATCGTATTCATATTATAAATACGATTTCCAACGCCTTCTCAAGTACACTGTTTTCCTGAAACCATATTTTGGTGCGACGCAAAAATAGATTTCCATTATGAAACCCGTAGAAAAGCAAACACTTTTTCCTCTCCATTGAAATGCGTTGAATGAACCGGAGAGGAAAGCAGAATGCAAAAAGTTACTAAGCCCTCAAAATGCGTGACGTTCAGACCTCTCTTCCTTGCTCCACCTTCAACTCGGCCCGGACAGGCTATGACGCGCATTTTATTGCATTCCTATCTGGCTGATAGACGCCTGGCCAAACCAATGGCCTTGGGCTAAATGGGGAATGTCTTGGGGCTCAGGCACCCGTGTCTTGTTTAGTCTGCGGCAAGATTTCCCTTTTTAAACAAGTTCAACCTATTTATTGTTTGTTAATTTGCTTTCGACCGGAAGGGCAACACTGTTATTTTGCGACTTAAACCATCGTAGTTTAACTCAGAGGACACGCTTCATTAAAAGTTCATTTCGCAGCTGTAATTCAATTACTGAGGCAATCCAATCCAGCCGCTGTTTGCCTAAACTAATTAGAAAAGGCCCCATCCCCAAACCAACTCCCAAAATTAATATTCATGAGAAAAAGAGACTCGGAACGACCACTAATATGTGTGGCCGAGTGGGAAGCTGACAAAAACATTTTCGCACGGCCAAAATGGAAGAGAAAAAAGGAAACTCCATTTCCGAGTGCATGACTTTTGGTTAATTTTGTGAGAGTGCTTGGCTAGCTGGCTAGCTGGCGGTGTAAATCAAAGAGGTTTCGGCCATGTTGCGTATACGCCGCGTGTGCGACCATTGAAATTATGCGGCATCATACCCAAGGCAAGGCTGTGGACGTGAACAATATAGACAAAGTTGTTGCCACTGTTGTTGGGAGCAGGCAATTGCCGAGATACTTGCCGAGCGAGCATGTACACATGTCTCCATGTATCTGTGAGATACTTTAAGCGTGGGTGCGTCGCTGAATGTGTGCCATTTGGCAATAATTGTGGGTCTATTGTTTGGTTGGCCGCCACGCTCTGTGTGTGGCTTTGCCGCGAGGCAATCGTTCAATTCGAACGACAACTGAAACTGCTACTGTGCGATTGGCAAAGTTGCCTATGCCGACATCGCCTCAGATGCAGATACCGATATTGATTGTGTGTCAGCGGGAATGATGAATCTGTCTCTATTGAGCATTCAAATGGCAAGTGTGCGGCCTCTGTTTTATCTGCTTAGACTGTTCATGTATTTCACATTCAGCTCCCCTTCATTCAGTTTCGCATTGAGCTGAACCAACTTTTCGAAACACATTATTTGCAGCAAATAAATAGTCCCGACGCCTCAGATGGCCAAATACTTTTCTCTCGTTGACTTTGGCATTTTTGTGGGAATTTTTAATATTTGCTGTAAGCCAGCCGCAAACGGAAGGCACTTCGGGCCAAAGGCAATGTATTTTCCAAGCTGTCGAGCTTCGCAATGCGAGTATCAGTTCAAGTTGGAAAATTCGTTTGCGAACTGGCAGACAAGCGGCCAAGGGAATTAACTTGAGTGATGGCTTTACAATGCTGTGGAATTCAAATTTTTCCCTTGAACCAAAAGCGACAGGCGATTCCAACAAGGCTTCTTTCTAGTGTCGATAAAAGTAGCTCCCCGAAAGCCTTTCTCGTCGGAAATAATTTTTCATAAGCGTCGTACATCTGTGTGTAATGAAGAGACCGCCAAAATACTGAGTTAATGATTTCCAAAGCGCTCCCAATAAATAAACTGAAAAATAACCACTAACGCCCATATGTCAGCTTAGCTAAAAGCCCCTCTGCCCTTACTGCCCGCTCGCCGTAGGCAACAACAACAGCTGCTGGGGCAGTGGCAGTGGCAAGGGCGAAGCGGTGAAACAAGAAAACTAAATTAAAACTCAACCGCAACTGTTTACACAGCAAATGTTACCACAAAGGGGCGGCTTGGCGCACTAAAGCCTCCAAATGACTCCAAACCGAAATCCCAGAGCGAGCTGAGCCGGAAGATGATTAATTAAGGCGGCTACTCGGCAGAGGAGGATCGGGTGAACAGCTCGGACAGTTGGCCGGCGAGGTGAGAAGAGTAATATGTACAAATATATCACTCCTTCGGAACGGTTAAAAACGAATTAATAATGTGTGATCGGAGGCCGCCCCCAAAAAAGTGGAGTGCCAGTTGGCGGATTCAAGAACAAAATCGACTAATTGCGGAGGCAGCCCGGAGGACGTGTCAGCCAATCAGGAGTGTTGTGCGGGCGGCCACGAGCACCTCCTGGATGACGAGGCAAAAGGATGCCTTGCACCCAAGGCCCAAGGACTGCTTGACTCTGGATGGCTGCACAAAGGAGGCCATTGTGTGCATGATCTGTGGTTTCCCTTTCACTCCGCGCAGCTCCGTTTGCAGCGCTTTGTCGGCAAGAGTGTGAACAGAACGGGGGAGGGGTGACCTGAGTTAGGGAGGACACCCAAGCCGCTGGCGGGGTCCGCTATTATCGATGTGTGAATTGCAACAGCCCGCGTCGGCGTTTCGTCGTAAATAATGCGTTTGAGATTCGGTCACAGTCGCTGAAATGTAAGGATTCTTTGAAACCTAAGGGCGAATGGAGACGAAACGTCGAAAATGATCGAGATGAAGATTGAGACCCAGCCTAATTGGCCCCGGCGTAGCGCCTTCGTTTAACGCATTCCTGTTAATTTTGATCTGATCCTTGATTAGCACTCCGCTCGCCTTCTAATAGGGACATTAGGCCAAACTCCTTTGCTTCGTTTCGACCTCCTGGTCGACTCAGCCCTTCGTGTTGTATGGCGTCAAGCCATAAAATTCGTTTAGCACCTGCGCGGCCGTGATCTGAATGTGTGATGTCAATAATCACAATTATAACGCCTGGCCATGTTTTTCAATAAAAGGGATTCGCCGTCGCGATCTACCCTTGAGCTACCTATGAGTTGTGAGCAGCTAAGCTTTTCAGAATATATGCATTTTGGATCCACTTCGATTCCGTCTCCTTTCATCCGTAGCCACGTCCGCGTGGAGAATAATTAATTTATTATCACATTATGATTACAACTAATTTGACATTGAATTATTAGCATGGCCAGACTCTAACCAGATACCGCGGGAAAAATCCCCGAAGTATCATAGACGAAATAATCACGAAACGCAATCAATCCTTTGATGGTGATGCAGATGACGAGCCAAGCCATACTTATTAGCTGCAGCCACAGAACATAAATAATCCATGAGGCAGGAGTTTTCCTTTTCCCTGTGCACTGCTTTCCCGCTTTGATTTATTTACCATAGTATAAATGCATTCGAAATGCATTTTAGTTCTGCGCCGAGGCCTCCACCAATCTTCAAAATTTTCGTCCGCAGTACCATGTGAAAATGGAAAATAAATAATTATTCAGAGGCTCACAGCTACTAAAGTCAACACAGCGATTCGTGCTCATAGTTCAGCCTTTAATTAAAAACGCATTTCTTGACGTTCATTTCGAGTCTTTAATTCCAGTTCCAGTTGCATCTCAAAATCGATTTGATACAATTCCATTTTTTGTTGATTTTTCCCAAAGTGACAATTGCCCTGCGTGATTTTCAATTATTCCCAGCTGAATCGATTCGTCAGTCGGCACATGTCAAAGTGGGGAGTTGGTGCTTCCAAATCTCCGCGTCCATAATTGTGGCACCAAGTCCAGTTCCCGTTAAGCCAAGTGTAATGACTCGTGCCGACTTTCCTAGCTCATATTGCAGCGGCTTTGGACGGACGATTTCTTTTCGGCGAGTGTGGAAAATTGAGCTGCATGTTATCTTCCGTTGATTTAATTAGATTTCGATTTGTTGCGCCATTTTCGCATTTAATTGATGTTTAGTTCTTGGAATCGAAGATTATTATTGAACAGGGTTTGAAGATGCCGCCTACATTGTTCAATCAAACTTTCTGAATTCGTGTAAAATTTTCTATTTCTTTATCTTTATCTTGAGATAGCATTTACGAAAACTTTGACAATCAGTTCTGCGAAAAATTTGATTTTGTGACCACCAAATTTATATTTTCGTACTTCCCCGCTTACATCAATAAATCTGTAAATAATTTACAGTCTTTAGTGGGCGTCCAAAATCAATTTGCAATAAGTGTCTAAGCGTCATTAGGTCGATTAACACATTAGGTATCATGGTCTCCATTATCATTCATTATCATCGCCTTATGCTAATTTCCCTGCTCAGATAAAACCCACAAAAACTCCGCGATACAGTTTTTACCTTTAGCCGACTAATTTAATTAGCATAATTTGGCAACACCTTTTTCGACCGTTGTGGCGACGCCTACTTACCTACGAGCAGATGCGTATCTTCCGGACTGCTCGTAGACAGTCGTATTTCTGTTTGTGCGTTTAGGCCAAAAAGCGCTGCTAAAGCGATTGGCAACGCCAGCGCAGGATATAGGCAGCCAGAAGTTGAC